GATCAATAATATCATCTTGACATTACAACATACGAAATTACTACACTAGAAATTACTACACATTAGATTACTACACATTAAATTACTACACTAGAAATTACTACACTAGAAATTACTACACAATAAATTACTACACATTAAATTACTACACTATAAATTACTACACTATAAAGTAGTAAACATTAAATTACTACACTAGAAATTACTACACTATAAATTACTACACATTAAATTACTACACTAGAAATCACTACACATTAAATTACTACACTAGAAATCACTACACATTAAATTACTACACTAGAAATTACTACACATTAAATTACTACACTAGAAATCACTACACTTTAAATTACTACACTAGAAATTACTACACTAGAAATTAGTACACATTAAATTACTACACTAGAAATTACTACACATTAAATTACTACACTAGAAATTACTACACATTAAATTACTACACTAGAAATTACTACACATTAAATTACTACACTAGAAATCACTACACATTAAATTACTACACTAGAAATCACTACACATTAAATTACTACACTAGAAATCACTACACATTAAATTACTACACTAGAAATCACTACACTTTAAATTACTACACTAGAAATTACTACACTAGAAATTAGTACACATTAAATTACTACACTAGAAATTACTACACATTAAATTACTACACTAGAAATTACTACACATTAAATTACTACACTAGAAATTACTACACATTAAATTACTACACTAGAAATTACTACACATTAAAATACTACATCCGAAATTATTACACACAAAATACTACACATGAAATTACTATACTAGAAATTATTAGACGCCAAATTACTCCAAAACAAAATTTCTGCTAATGATTAGACACAGAGCTTGTAGAAGTTAATTCCTTGCCTGTTATGCTGGACATTTTCAGCTTTAGCAAACACAACAACACAGTCAATGGACATGAAATTAGTCACCCTAGAAGCAGTGAACGGGATCACCATTAGAAGGCGAGTATGACACGTAAAATACAACTTACTGTTGAGACAGAATTTGAAGGCTGCAATAATGTATGAACAGTCAAACATTTAGATTCATTTGTTAAGTTAAACTGTCCAAATTCCATGCTATTATTGCATACTGAGTACAAACTGTATTTAAAATATTTATGGCTATAGTGTACCAATTACTGTCCTTGGGAATATGACGTGTTGAGGCCCTAACTCTTCCACGGTGTCATTCGCTTACAATTGTGAAAAAAAAGAGAGAAGGGATCATTAAATTTTTTTAAACACTTTCTATTTAGGACCTGGAAAAATTATAGAAACTTGTTATCTCAGCTCGAACACAGAAAAGGCGAACAAGTCAATGAAATAGACATGTAATGGAAGTCGCCGTGGTCTAGCGGCTAGACGCTTGCCTGCGGATCGGAAAGTGATGGGTTCGGGTCTTGACGGTAGCGGACTTTATTTCTTTCAAAAATGATCTTGGCTTCCAGATCGACCCAGCCTTGAATGGACATCAGTTAATGTCATGGGAAGTACAGGCGGCCTCTGTAACGTTGACCACATCAAACACAGAGTGACCATTGGTCTATAAAATATAGGTCTAGCCCTATATGTCTAATAAGCCTGAAGGCGCAGCAAGGATGTGTCACTTGACTTGTATCAATATGTATAAAGATCTAACAGCCTCTCAAAAACTTTACTTAAGGGCTCAGTAGAGGGGAAGAGGAGAAGAGGCAGACCAAGAAATTGACTAACTGGACAGGCCTTAGGCAAGCAACAATGAAGTCCCTTGCAACTGACCGTCAAAAGTAAAGGGAGCGAATCAAACAGTCAACAGCAACTGGTGACCCAGCGTCAGACAGTGGTACGGGATGATGATGATGATGATGTTGATGATGATGTTGTTGGGAATTTTGTTGATGATGTTGATAATGATATTGTTGATGATGATGTTGATGATGATGTTGTTGATGATGATGTTGATGATGATGTTGTTGATGTTGTTGCTGATGATTATAATGATGTTGATGATGATGTTGGTAATGTTGTTGATGTTGTTGATGATGTTGATGATGATGTTGTTAATGATGATGTTGATGATGATGTTGTTGATGATGATGTTGATGATGATGTTGTTGATGATGTTGTTGCTGATGATTATAATGATGTTGATGATGATGTTGTTGATGATGTTGTTGCTGATGTTTTTGATGATGATGTTGTTGAGGTTGATGTTGATGATGATAACACAGAAGTGTTGAACAGAAACAGCCCTTGAATAAGAAACAAACCAGTACACTAGAACTTACCTCATCGTTGACCTGAAGGTTGACCTGCTCAGGGGCTTCTGGGTTGTTAGTGACATCTAGAGAACAGGAGCAAACAACAACTGCTATTTATTTTCAACTAAATATGACAAACAAATAAATAATTTATGATTTTTACGAAAAAAACGTATAATTAATTATGGAGATAATCGTCGCTGGTGCTACTGAGTTCGTACTTTGTGCGACGCTCTAGTCAGGCGGTCAATCTTTCTGTGGACATAGACTGAGCCGTATGGGATAAAACTAGGTGTAATCTGGTCGATCTTCAAGACTAACGCACGAGTGCAGAAATTGGCAGCAGCAGAGTTTGTTGTATATCTGTCATCACTAGAGTTTGTTGTATATCTTTTACCAGCAGAGTTTGTTGTATATTTTTCACCAGCAGAGTTTGTTGTATAGCTTTCATCACCAGAGTTTGTTGTATATCTTTCACCACTAGAGTTTGTTGTATATCTTTCACCCCTAGAGTTTGTTGTATATTTTTCACCACCAGAGTTTGTTGTATACCTTTTACCAGAGTTTGTTCTGTATCTTTTACCACCAGAGTTTGATGTATATCTTTCACTACCAGAGTTTGTTGTATATTTTTACTACCAGAGTTTGTTGTATATCTTTCACCACCAAAGTTTGTTGTATATCTTTCACCGCCAGAGTTTGTTGTATATCTTTCACCACCAAAGTTTGTTGTATATCTTTCACCACTAGAGTTTGTTGTATATCTTATACCACTACAGTTTGCTGTATATCTTTCACCACCAGTGTTTCTTGTTTATCTTTCACCACCAGAGTTTGTTGTATATCTTTTACTTCCAGAGTTTGTTGTATATCTTTCACCACCAGAGTTTGTTGTGTATCTTTTACTATCAGAGTTTGTTGTATGTCTTTCACCACCAGAGTTTGCTGTATATCTTTTACTACCAGAGTTTGTTGTATATCTTTTACTACCAGAGTTTGTTGTATATCTTTTACTACCAGAGTTTGTTGTATATCTTTTACTACCAGAGTTTGTTGTATATCTTTTACTACCAGAGTTTGTTGTATATCTTTTACTACCAGAGTTTGTCGTATATCTTTCACCACAAAGTTTTGTTGTATATCTTTTACTACCAGAGTTTATTGTATATCTATCACGGGACGTCTGCAACCTACCCCAACATTTGCTGGCATTTCTGATGTTACTTACATTTTTTTAGTTTGTGATTGCTTTCTAAAAGATTTAGGGCTAAAATCGACACACACTTTGCTGACAAATCGCTTGCTAGCATGTCTGATGAGATGACTGTCGGCAAAGCGGGGCCTTTAATGTTTCGGTAGAATTCAGAGTTGACGTTTGGAAGAAGCGATCCAAGAAGTCAATAATAATATGTTGCACTAAGCAAGACACATCAGAAACCAAGTTGTTGGAACAAAACCCTGCAATTAGGAAATAATTTGCTATAAAAATGGGAATTATCCAAAACTCTAAAACCAAATGGTCAAGAGCACGCCTCTCCCTCTTCTCCTCCCCTTCCTCCTTCTCCTCCTCGTCCTTCGCCTGTTTTAATTGTTGTTCATCAATTTTGATATAGGTGGTTCTTTCTTGTCTGGAGAATGTCATCATTTCTGTTTTGTCTACGTTGATCTTTATATCATAGTGGTCGCATTCTGAGTGGAGTCTGTTAATATGTTCTTGTAGCTGTACTGCTGTTGGTGCTATAATTGTCTGGTCATCAGCGAAAAGCAATTCATTTAGTCATGTCTCCGATTTTGTCCCTCTCGCTGATGTTAGCTGATATGCAAATTTGGTCTACGTATATGATAAACAGTAGTGGTGATAGAACGTCCCCCTGTCTCACTCCAGATCTAATGTAGAACTTTTCTGACATTCCTGTATTTGTTTTAACTGGGCATTGACTGTTCACTTTCCAACCCTTGCACAGTTTCATAATAATAATAATAATAATAATAATAATAATAATAATAATAATAATAATAATAATAATAATAATAATATTATAATAATAATAATAATAACAATAATAATACAGTAATAATAATAATAATAGAAAGCCGCCTAACTAGCGAGACAAACAATGCAATACATCATTTACTGCCTGGCATATCTGGTTAGCTGCGTGGCTACAGTGTTACATCAACATTTAATAGAAACAAAATAAAAGAATCTTGTCCACTGAAATACACACACCACAATGTCTCTGGTCACGCTGTGAATAATGTCAACGGAACTTTAAAGATTAAACACATGATTATCATCACAGGTTCAAATCTACCACATGCTCTTTTTGTCGGCAAAGATACTAAATGATTTTTAAAAAAATAGATAGATAAAACATGCACGAAGGTGAAATAGGTAGCGATACTGAAAGCATAAACAGAGAATATAGTCAAGCGAGTGGGTACATTCAGTCACTGAGGGAAAGGGGCAATGGGTTGGCTGGTGGAAGAAGAAACAAATAGAAGGAGGTCAGCGGGGTTTGGGCCTGGTGAGAGGGTCAAGCCGTGTGCCTCGCGTTTTAAAAGTCATAGGTTCGTTTCACGAATGCAGTTTTTAAGAAGATCTCGGGTGATCGTCACTCGAGCTACGGAGTTCGAGCTCTGTGCGACGCCCTCGGTAAAAGGTTATCCGCACTGCAGAAAGAAATCGAGCCGTATGATACAACCCAGGGCAGTGAAGTCAATTCACTCAACTTTTAACTTCAGTCAAGAGAAACAAGTCTTGCTCACATGAATACGCACTTGTGTCTTCTCCTGAAACTAGTGGCTCTGTGGCCTTCAATTCCAGATCTTCCTCGGTTGGCGTGGTGGACTCGTCACTCGCCATCAGTCACAGGACAATCATTAGATTTCTTAATCATCGTACAGATACATATCTCAATCAACAAGCAATCTCATGAATATTTCCGTGGACATGTCAGCTTTCACAACATTTCCAAATATTTATTTGTTCTAAGCCTGTTTAAAAAATTTATTGCTCTTAGCATATCTGAAATAACTCGTTCTAAACGTATTTATTACAATTACTTGTTCTAAGAAAATGTTAGACAATTATGTGTTCTAGGCGTATTTGAAACAATAACGTGTTCTTAACGTATTTATTACAATTACTTGTTCTAAGAAAATGTTAGATAACTATGTGTTCTAGGCGTATTTGAAACAATAACGTGTTCTTAACGTATTTATTACAATTACTTGTTCTAAGAAAATGTTAGACAATTATGTGTTCTAGGCGTATTTGAAACAATAACTTGTTCTTTATGTATTTATTACAATTACTTGTTCTAAGAAAATGTTAGACAATTATGTGTTCTAGGCGTATTTGAAACAACTTGTTCTTAACTTGTTCTATTACAATTGCTTGTTCTAAGCACATTTGAAACAATTGCACGTTCTAAGTCTATTCGAATCACGACTTGTTAATGTATCTGAAACAATTAACAAAACTATTTATAACACACACACAACAGCTGGGCATGGAGCTGATAATGTTCGGCAGCGAATTACCCATAATTTATGTAACTGGAGCGGCAGTTCAGGCTGGCAAGGGAGACGATGACCAAGCGGTTCAGAATATGAGCTGGTATAATATCACGATCGTTGCACGTGCTTGCATAATTGTTCTGTATAATTACAAGGAATCTCGTTGAATAGAGAGTGCACTGAATGGGTTGAAACTGCAGAGCTAAACCACTTGTAGAATACTGTACAAGTAAAAGACCCTTTTTCACGCCTTTAGGCATATTGGGCAAATAGGGCTAGAACCAATCAGCACTTGGTGTTGGATGTGGTCAGCATCACACCGGTTGCCTTTACTTCCCAGGAGTTCTACCTGGTACCCACTCAAGGCTGGGTCGACCTGGGAGTCAAGGTCATTTATGAAACAAGTCCGGCTCCATCATGACGCGAACCCACGACCTTCCGATCCGCAAGCGAGCTTTGTAGAATATTGTGGAGACTTTTAAATCAAATATCATTAGTAATACCATTCATTCTGTCTGTTTTTTTTTTCTTCTTCTCCTTCTTTGCCTTCTTTACGCCCCCCCCCCCTCTCCGCAACGCCCCGCCCCCTCCCCCGCCCCCTCCTTTAAATATACTTGCTTGACTGTCTCTCTCTTTATTTTATCCCGAATCAGTTAATGAAGTGTCATCTCCGCATTGTCCGACCCACTTTATCTTCAATAATGTAAATGAGCAAAGCTGTGTCCACCCTGAGATATACTGGTCTGAGACCATCATACTGGAAGAGATACATAGACGTACTAGAGTAATATCTTTCGTTAACTTCATTCATGGGAAGCAAAGACGGAAATTAGTTTGGCTATCAAATAACAATGAAATCAACGATGCCGAAAGCGAGGGCGTGCAACATAAAAATAGAAGCAATAGGAGGCAGACCTTAGAAGATCATGGATTGACAGAACCACTGGCATCCTAAGAACTCACAGCACCATAACATACCAAGTAACCGAGTGCGCCCTAGCTAGACTACCTATATGGTATTAAAATACTATGCACAGCAGCTCACAGTAGGTAATAACAAAAGAATAAGAGGTATATTAACGACTATACTACCAAGGCGATTGTTAAATAATAATCCATCTCCAAGGAATTTATCTACACGCCAAAACAGACACCTAAATCCATAACTAAACGGGTAAAATACATGTGTACTCTTCTAGCATTAGTTCTATACTGTATTCCCGTAGCAACAATGGCACGTGATCTACTTTTACCGCCAACTGTCTGGGGATTCCCATTCTCGTTGTTGAAACGCGCCATCTGAACCACATTTGTTTCTGCTTGAAAACAGGGCCGACTACAGACGAGCTGAAAAGTCAATAAAATAACGAATCACGCTTTCAGGCACATAGGGCTGGACCTATATTTTATAGCATCACACCGGCCACCTTTATTTCCCAGGACTCTCTACCTGGTACCCACTCAAGGCTGGGTCAACCTGGGAGCCAATGTCATTTGGAAGAGGGGGGGGGGGGGGGTCGGTCGTCTCCAGCTCTATCTGGACCTGATCCCACAACCTTCA